AAAAACAATAATTCAAAGGATCAATGAAACAAAGAGCTCTTTTTTCGAAAAGATAAACAAGATTGATGGACCCCTAGCTATACTCACCAAGAAACAAAGAGAGAGAACCCAAATACACAAAATCAGAAATGAAAGAGGAGAAGTAACAACTGACACCACAGTAATACAAAAGATCATTAATAACTATTATGAACAATTATGTGGCAACAAATTCGACAATGTAAGCAAAATAAACAAATTTCCAGAAACACATAGTCTCCCAAAACTGGACCGGGAAGAGATAGAAAATTTGAACAGAACAATAACAACAGAAGAAATTGAAGAGGTAATCAAGACTCTCCCAGCAAACAAAAGCCCAGGCCCAGATGACTTCACGGGGGAGTTTTACCGAATATTCAAAAAAGAACTAACACCCATTCTCCTCAAACTATTCCAAAAAATTTACGAAGAAGGAAGACTTCCAAACTCATTCTATGAGGCCAGCATAATTCTAATTCCAAAACCAGAAAAAGACACTACAAAGAAACATAACTACAGGCCAATATCCAGGATGAACATAGATGCCAAAATCCTGAACAAAATACTACCAAATTGGATCCAGCCATACATCAAAAAAATTATCCACCATGACCAAGTGGGATTCATCCCAGGGATGCAAGGCTGGTATAATACTCACAAATCAATAAATATGATACACCACATAAATAAAATGAAGAATAAAAACACATGATCATATCAATCGATGCTGGAAAAGCATTCGACAAAATCCAGCATTCATTTCTGATAAAAACGCTCAGCAATGTGGGAATAGAGGGATCATATCTAAACATAATAAAGGCCATATATGAAAGACCTGCAGCCAACATCATACTCAATGGGCAAAAACTAAAAGCATTTCCCTTAAGAACAGGAACAAGGCAAGGATGCCCACTTTTGCTACGCTTATATAACATAGTACTGGAAGTCTTAGCCACAGCAATTAGACAGAAAGAAAAAATAAAAGGAATCCAAATTGGAAAGGAGGAAGTGAAACTGTCACTGTTTGCAGATTACATGATATTATACATAGAAAACCCCAAAGACTCCATCAAAACTTTACTAGAGTTAATAAATCAATTTGGCAAAGTAGCAGGATACACAATTAATGTCAAGAAACTGATAGCATTCTTATACACCAATGATGAACTCACAGATAGAGAAACTAAAAAAAAAAAAAAAATCCCATTTACCATTGCGGCAAAAAAATTAAGATACCTAGTAATAAACTTAACCAAAGAAATAAAGGACCTATTCGCAGAAAACTACAGGTCATTAAAAAAAGAAATAGAGGAAGATATAAAAAAGTGGAAGCACATACCCTGTTCATGGATTGGAAGAATTAACATCATTAAAATGTCCATACCAACCAAAGAAATCTATAGATTCAATGCAATCCCCATCAAAATACCAACGACATACTTCACAAAACGAGAACTAGTACTTTAAAAGTTCATATGGAACCAAAGAAGACCCTGAATAGCAAAAGCAATCTTGAAAAAGAAGAACAAAGTTGGAGGATTCACATTACCAGATTTCAGGTTATACTACAAAGCCACTGTAATCAAAACAGCCTGGTACTGGCACAAGAACAGTCATATAGATCAATGGAACAGAACTGAGAACCCAGAAATGGACCCAAGGCAATATGCTCAATTAATATTTGACAAAGGTGGCAAGAGCATACAGTGGAGTAAAGACAGCCTCTTTAATAAATGGTGTTGGGAAAACTGGACAGCTACATGCAAAAAAATGAAACTAGACCATCAACTTACACCATACACAAGAATAATCTCAAAATGGATAAAAGACTTAAATGTTACTCATGAATCCATAAAAATCCTAGAAGAACTTGTAGACAACAAAATTTCAGACATCATATGCAGTAGAATTTTCAATGATGCATCCCCTAAGGCAATAGAAACAAAAGAGAAAGTGAACACATGGGACTACATCAAACTCAAAAGCTTCTGCACAGCAAATGATACAATCATCAAAACGGAAAGGCAACCCACTGTATGGGAGAGCATAATTGCCAATGATATATCAGATAAGGGGTTAATTTGCAATATATACAGAGTGCTCATACAACTCAACAAATGTAAGACATAGGACCCAATTATAAAATGGGCAGAGGAACTAAATAGACACCTCTCCAAACAGGACATACAAATGGCTAAGTGACATATGAAGTAATGCTCAACATCACGAATCATCAGAGAGATGGAAATTAAAACAACAATGAGGTATCACCTCACACCTGTCAGAATGGGCATCATCAAAAAATCATTGAACAACAAGTGTTGGCGAGGGCATGGAGAAAAGGGAACGCTAGTACACTGCTGGTGGCAATGCAGACTGGTGAAGCCACTATGGAAAACAATATGGTGTTACCTCAAAAAATTAAAAATTGAACTGCCATTTGACCCAGTGATCCCACTTCTAGGAATATACCCTAAGAAGCCTGAAACACCAATCAGAAAGAATATTTGTACCCCCATGTCTGTAGCAGCACTATTTACAGTAGCTAAGATCTGGAAACAGCCCAAATGTCCATCAGTAGACGAATGGATAAAAAAGCTGTGGTACACATACACAATGGAGTACTATGCAGCTGTAAGAAAGAAAGATCTCTTATCCTTTGAGAGAACATGGAGGGACCTGGAAAGTATCATCCTAAGTGAAACAAGCCAAACAGAGAAGACAAGTATCATATGATCTCACTTATTTGTGGAATATAATGAACATAGCAGTCTGAGGAATGGGGTAGTTCCAGAGACGTGGAAGTGGGGTACAGACTGACAATTCCCAGAACAGGGGGTATTGGGGGAGAGATAAACCACAGAACTTATATGCATGTATGCATAAACAATGGACATGCACAACAAAGCTGGGGACAGGGCGGGGAGGGAGCGGGAGGTGGGAATCATTGGGGGAAAAAAAGGAGGAACATCTTAACAAAAATAAATTAATTAAATAAATAAAAAAAATAAAAATAGAAATAAAAAAGAAAAACAGTAAAAAAAAAAAAAAAAAAACCACTCAAGAATCATGGCTCCACCCAAGCTGGAATCTCAACAGCTTAAAAAACTAGGCTTCCCTTTTATCATAAATAATTTCATTTCTGGTAAAATAAAAATGAGAACTACAACCAGACAAGTAGTTTTCATTCATTCACTGTAATAACACTGCTGAGCCTTCCCTAGAGGTCGGACAATGCTGCAGCGTCCAGGAATCACACAGGAAAGAACACATATAGTCTTCCCCTGATAAAATGAGTGCCGTCAATAGAGAGTGAGTGTACTTGAAATTTTCCAGTCCTTCTAAATATGCTCCTTCTTGAATCAGCTTCCTTCAGATTTTGGTTCAGTTGCCTGTTTATCAAGTAATCATTTTTCTCAATTGTAACATGAAATTTTATCATTATGACTACATCAATGAGTTGACTTCCGCCTAGTTTCACTGTCACAAATGATACCTAACTAGATAAAGCCATGGGTTATCACCAAGAAAGTACAACAGCAGAACTTAAAAACATTTTTTTTTTTTTTTTGAGGCCTTGCCCCATCCAACTTTTGGACCTAGAAACATTTCTGTATAGTACCTTAAACATAAAAAGTCACCTTATTCTGAACTATGCTTGATTGTGATTTTAAGTGACACTTCAAAAAACTATTCTCCTTTCAACATGAACACACTTAACTTACTAGACCTTATTTTTTATAAACTAAAATTTAATTGTAAGCATGGTAACAATATATTAGTACTGTTTGATCTTGATGCTAAATTGTTCTTTTATCTGAATGCACAAACTATACCCTTCCTCAACTGCAGTAGTAACTTTGTTTCTTCATGTAGGTGCACAATACCTAGGATGAGGTAAAAATAAATTATCAGCAATATGACATACTACCACAGCCCACAAATGTGGACTGCTCTCATTCTCCTTACCAGCTCCCCTTCTCTAGTCCTTCCTCCTCCTCTAATCTTGAAAACGGGAAGCTCCAGTCCTCACAGAGCAGTGATGACATGAGTATTTACAACAATGCACAAGTGCAGGGAGAACTTCCTACTTCCTAGCACAGTAGAAAAAAAAGAATGGTCCATAGAAAAGAAAATTACAGCAACTGAAAATAGAAAGTTTGGCATCAGGCAAGAAATGGGTTCATATTTTGAGTCTAGCACTGTAACCTTGGTCAAATTCGTTTTTCTTTATTGATTTTTAGAGAGAGGGGAAGGGACAGGGAGAGAGAGATAGAAACACTGATGAGAGAGAACATCATTGGCTGCCTCCTGCATGCTCCCACTGGGGATCGGGACCACAACCTGGGCGTGTGCACGATCAGGAATCGAACTGGCAACCTCTTGATGCATGGGTCGACTCTCAACCACTGAGCCACACTGGGAGGGCACCTTGGTCAAATTTTTTAATCTGCTTGAGCCTTAGTCTCTTCAACAATAAGACACTAACAAATAGTAACCTTTCTTTGTCCTGCTATGAGTAAAAGGACACTAGATTTGGAGTCAGGAGGCAGGGGTTCAAGTTCAACTTATATTCCCAAATAATATGACATCAGGGAAATAATATAACCTCTGTGAATCTCAGTTTCTTAATTTACAAAAGATGGATAAAAATATTTGCTCCATCTTTCTCATGCCTAGGAGGATCTAAACAAAGAAAATAGTTCCTATAAAAATTATTTCTGATGTGTAAAAGATTTTTATAAATATAATTTTACTGATAAAAGAATCTTCTTTGAAAGCAAAATCTAAAGGGAGAAAAAAATACAAACAATGGCATGCCCATAAATTTCTATGTGAATAAAAAGAAGGGGAGCATTTGTTAATTTTCAATTTGTTGGTTACAATTTTTCTGCAATCTAAAAAAAAAAAAAATCATTGTATCATGAAGGTGATAATACCCTTACAAATAAAGCAGAAAGCCAGAAGCAACAATTACTTGCCATGTACAACTCCTTATTTATGCCAAGATACTTTCCATTTCCACAGCCAATATCAGCCACTAATGAACCACTTGGCAAAGCTTTCAAAAACTCCACGATGTGTGGCCAAGGAGTATGTCTCGTGCTGCTGAAGTGCCCAGCGATCTCTTCATAAACTCGATGGACATATTTTTGCTCCAACTGTGAGGCTTCTTTATTGCTCTCTGGAAATGATGGAGGAGGCTCCTTCATCTGGCTGTCACAGACCAAAGGGTAACCTAATGAAAAAATAAGGCAATATAAACCCCCTCGTTTTTTTAAATCCAAATTATTCAAAAAGTCTCATGTTTTCTTAAAAAGAAAAAGCAAATCAATTAAAATTTGGTGACTAAGAATAAGAAGCCTCTGATTTATCAGTTAAACAATAGCTCTTACCTAGCAAATCCAATTATATGGGTGATGGATACAACAGAAAAAGAAGGGGGAAAACCTATTTGCAACAAAACATGACTACAATTCTGCATGCCTTATAATGAAGATGCCTATTTCATCCTAGGATTAAGGGTCCTTTTATTCAGTGAAGCATCTTGATAAGACAGGCCTAAGCAATATATATTCACTCAATATATACCTATTCATTATATATACTCTTTAGAGCAATTTTATAACAATTTATCACAAAGTTAATAATGCTAATAAAAATATTAAAGCTTGCCAAGGATATTGTACACTTAAAAAAATCACAATATTAAAGTATTCTCTTCAATAAAGGTTGTTGCTCCACCTGTACTTGTGCCATTTGAATAAATAATCTCACATCACTTCAGCTATTTACGCCGTGCGCAGTAACTCAGGATGTGCAGTGCAGACTGGCAGGGGCAGGTGGTTGGGGTAAAAGCTGCCTACATTTTCCTTGGAAACCTCATGCCTTCTATCCCGTACTATCTCTGATCCATATCACAAATTGTCACTTTTCATTCATCCTGGCTCAAAATGTAATGAAACTTGGAATTTTCTGTATCTGGTTTTAGTAATACTTGGCACATTACAAAGCACTTCTAAGAGCCATAGGGTTCGAGAGAGAGAATACCTGCTCCAACCCCAGCCTCTTTCAAGTTCTTCTCTTGTTCAAAAGTTAGTTGAATGAGAAGGCCTCTTTTAACAGGTTATGCCAATTTTTAATCACTCAAAGGGAAAATAAACAAAAGGCAAGATGAATTTCATTTCAGGAAAAGCTATGTTCATTCCCTTTATATATGTTCACACCCATGTCCATATCTATATCTATAGCTACCTATGTTTTTGATACATAAAATAAAATTTCCCATACATGGGAAAAAAAAAAAGATAGGCCTAAGCAGAAGAAATTTAGCTACTCTTGGCAGGTGAAGGACATAGGAGTTCTGGGGGCACTAGGACTCTTGGAAGAACAAAACCTAGAAGCAAAATGTCACTTGGTAATAACCACAAGCATTTAATAAACACTATTTGAAGCAGTGTGTGTGTATATATGTGTGTATGTGCATATGTATATATATTATTATTATAAATATATATATATATATTTATAAATCTCAATTCTCACAGTAACACTGTAAGATAGGTACTATTACACTCATTTTACAGATGAGAAACTGAACCACAGAACATTAAATAATAATCCCAAAGTGACAAAGACAGTAAATCATAAAGCCAGAATTTGAACCCAGGCAGTGGAGGCTCCAGAGCCCATATTCTCAATGACTACACTGTGTTGCCTTCTTCAATAGAATGCACAAACCCCAGTAGAAGACTTGACAGAGGAAATTTAGGATATAATGTCTCAAATTAATTTTGAAGTTGTTCCTTGTTCTCTGCAATAGTCTAATACTTATTTTAAATCATTGCCTGTTCTCTGCTATGCTGTAATTCTCGTTTGTCTTCAGCCATAGTTTGTGACACACAACATCTTTTTATGGGTAGTATTCTAGAGAATGAAAGGAATAGTGCCGCTAGAGAAACCACAGACAAGATTAAGACATGAATTAGAAACAGTAATGGGCTACAGCATTGATGGCTTCAGAAAATTTCCCTCAATATAACTAGAGTAAGCCAAACCCTGAGAAAGTCCAGAATGGGGGTGGGAGTATCTAGTCCCTACTAATGTGTGAAGTGAAGCTCTAAACATTTTAAGTGGACATTTAAGAAAAGGGTAGCCCAGAAAGCTTGAGGACTCTAAAACACACATGTGGAAACAGATAGGTTACATTATGTTGGTTAAATCAGAATTACAATTACACTGTAATATACATTCCAGTTATCCTGAATTGGTCTTAGTAAAATTTTATTCTCTTGGAAATTATGAACATCTGAGTTGTCTAAAGGGAGTAGCAACCCTTATCATTTAAAAATCCATAAATGTTTACCAAAAATATCCAAAAGATGACCCTGAACTTTTTCTAAAAATGTAGACTATGGTCAGCCCTCACTTATCGTGGTTAATCAGTTCCAGACTCTACAGCGATAAATGAATTTCCGCGAAGTAGGATTCTCTATTTATACACAATCATCCCTCGCCACTTTGTGCCTCGACTTTCTAGAGTGAAGCCGAGAAAGTCGAGGCGCGAAGTGGCGAGGGACAACTGTATACAATCAGAGTTTCTTATAGGATCCCTTACCTGTAATTAATTAATGCCCATAACAAAGAAACATTTGTATAAGAAAACTAGCTTGTCTAACTAGACTTCAAGTTTCTTGAGAACTAATGTAGTAGACATTTCAAGTTTTCTAACAGGATAACATCTTGTAGCTATAATAAGGGTATTTAATTTTAAATGTTTTCAAGATTATGACTAGATCCAAAAGCAAATGAGAGATATCTCCCATAACTAAAAAACCCAGGATATAAAAATGATCTTACATCACTGTCATAAAAATATTATTTATAAAATTAAAAGGGTTTTTATTTATTGAGTCTAATAAATATAGGCCATGATATACTTGTGTAGACAACTCAAAATAGCATCCTCTTGACAAGTTTTCAAGTACTTCTTTCATTCCTTCATAGGTTTCCAAATTGACAAAAACCATTGTTTTTCCCCCTAGAGTTATCTCAATTTTTCATTTCCAATTTCCACTTTGGGTTAATGAGAAGTAATTTAAAAACTTGACAAACTCTTTCCAACAAAACCTACTTTTGTGATATTTTAATGTCCTATAACTGTAGCACTCTTAACTGTGACTTTAAAAATATATATTTATTTGGCATCCAACTATGCTCAAGTACTGTTTTTAGAAAATAAACATGAATAAGATGCAATCCTTACCTTCAAAGAATGTAAACTTCAATGGGGGTGGTTAAGAAAAATATATGTAAGTACAATGCCAGGCAAAATGTGGGAAATGTCATTAGAGAAGGTAAAACAAATCTTTTGGGACTTTAAAAGATTTTCATACTAGATTTATTTTGTTTTACAATAAAACCAAAATTATATACTTACTACAGTTGCAAGGTGTTTGCCTCACTTTCCTAAATGTAAATGATGTCCGTATACCCCTCTTGCTTAAAGTTAAGTTTCCAACATCACCAGTGATAATTCCACTTCTGTGACCCTTGGATGCTTGAACACTATCAAATTTTCTGGGTGTTATTCTAAAAATAATAGTCAAAATAATTTATTTAACATGACATTCATAAAAACATTTTTAGGTCCTTTAAAAACATTAAGGAAATAGAGTAAATCTAGAAGAATGTACTGCAAATATCTATTGGATTCCCTGAATTGTTAAGCATTACAGGAAAAAAAAAAAGAAATAGAAGTCTATGTCTTTTAAAAGGTTATCTATCATCAGGGTAATCATATTAAAAGCATGTACAGCCCTGGCTGGTGTGGCTCAGTTGGTGAGATCATCATCCTATGTAACAAAGGGTGGTGAGTTCAATTCCCAGTTAGGACACATACCCAGGTTGTGAGTTCGATCCCTGCTCAGGGTGTGTATGGGAGGCAACCTGTTGATGTATCCCTTTCTCTTTCTCCTCTCTCTCTCTCTCTTCCCCCACTCCCCTCTAGAATCAGTGAAAAACATATCCTCAGGTGAGAATTAAAAAAATAAAAATAAATGTACAGCTAATGAATTATTCAAGGGGGAAAATGGGATAACAGCAATTAATACCAATTCCAAGATGAAGGTGGAAAAAAAAAACAAGGAACAGATTGGGCAAAGAGGAAACAAATAGATGGCAAATTTAAATCCAGTACCAGTATTACATTAAATGTACAAGGACTAAAAAGTCTAATTAAAGAACAAAGGTTTTCAGACTGCACTGGAAAAAATCCAATTATATGTTGATACCTTAAATATAAGGGCAGAGAATGATTGAAAATAAAAAGATACAAAAAATACACAAAATATACAAAAAAAAGGTTTTATATATACCAAGAAAAATCAAAAGAAAAGTGGCATAGCTCAATCAGACAAAGTAGACTTTTAAGGCAATAAGTATTACTGGAGATAAAAAAAAAAAAAGGACATTTTATAATGATGACAAGATTAACCCAACAGAAAGATATAAAAGCCCTATATATTTGTATACACCTAACTAATAACACAACCTCAAAATAAAAGGAAAAAAGTGAAAAAAAAATCTAACAGAAATAGACAAATACATAACCATCATTGGAGTTTCAAATAAACTTTCTTAATAAGTGAAATCTGTTAAAAGTACATCAACATCAGAAAATAACAGATAATGGAACAAAAGAGTACATGATTAACTCTTTAAATTTTGTAATATAAATACAATAAGTAAAAAACAAAGATTGAAAAATAAAAAGAGAGAAGTATAGCTGTTGTGGATTGTAAGAAAGTTTAAAGAGAATCTTTGGAGTAAGAGCAAATTTTCAAATGGAAAAAAGAAATCATTTGGTAAGAAAATATGTCCTTTTTAAATAAAATTTACAGAGAATGAAATGCACAGATCTTAAGTGTACAATGAGTTTTGAAAATTGTATACAACCATGTAACCACCACCTCAATGAAGATATAGAACACTTCCATTACCCAAAAAACTCCCTGTGCCCCCCTCCAATCAATCTTTCCCCACCTTGAAGCAACCGCTGTTCTGATATTTTTTAGTATAGCCTATTCTTGAATTTCATATACACTTAGCACTATTTTGTGTCTAGCTCTGTCCATTCAACATAATTTTGGGATGCATCCATGTTGTTGTGTTTATCAGTAATTCACTGTCTCTTCATCACTGAGTTAATATTTCAGTCTATGAACACACCACAGTTTATCCAAAATCTCCTGTTGATATATACTTTGGTATCCCCAGTTTGGGACTTTACAAATAAAGCTTCTGTGAACATTCATCTATATATCTGTATCTATCTATATCTATATCCATATCTATTTATTTTAGATATATATTTTTATTACTTTGGGTTTTAATTTGCACTTCTCTGATGAACTAATGATGTTGTATATCTTTTCATGACCTTATAAGCCATTCACAGATCCTTTCTGTGTTGTAGGGTCTGTTCGAACCTTATCCCCAATCCTTTGTAAAATATTTGTATTGTGGATATTTTCTTCCCATGTGTAGCATGCTTTCTCATTTTCTTAATGATATCTTTTGATGAGTGAAGTTTTTAATTTTGATGTAGTTATTTTGTCTTTTTTTTTTCCTTTTACAGTAAGTGTGTTTTCATATCTATGTAAAAAAACTTTGCCTACCTCAAGGCTACAAAAATGTCCTTTTGTATTTTCTTCTAGATGTCTTATAGCTTTTGCTTTTATATTTAAATTTATGATGGCTTCATATTAATTTTTGTGAATGGTGAGAGGTAGATCAAAGTTATTTTATTTCCACATGAATGTCAAATTATTGCAGCACCATCTATTGAAAAATCTCCTTTCCACATTGAGTTGCATTGGTATCTTTGTCAAAAACCAATTCACATTGTATGTTAAGTGTATTATATCCCACTGGTCTATTTGTCTATCCTCTTTTGATTACATAGTGTTACAGTAAATCTTAAAAATCAGATAAAATAGCCCTGGCCGGTTTGACTCAGCAGTTAGAGTTTTGGCCAGCAGACCTGAGTCTCAGATTTTATTCTGGTCAAGGGCACGTACCTCGGTTGTGGTTCGTCCCTGGCCCTGGGTCATGCAACCAGTCGATATGTCTCTCTTTCTCACATCAACGTTTCTTTCTCTCTCCCTTCTTCCCTCTCACTGTCTGATGATAGAAAAGTATCCTCGGATGAGAATTTTTAAAAAATCAAGTAGAATAAATCCTCCAACATTGTTCTCCTGTTTCAAGATTACTCTGATTATTCCAGATCCTTCACAATTCCTTATAAATGTCAGAATCTGCTTATTAATTTCACAAAAAAGACTTTTAAGATTCTGATTGGATTACAATGAATCATCAGAGCAATCTAGAGTCAACTGATATCTTAATAATTAATTTCCTATCCATGATCATAGCATCTCTATTTCTTCATTTATTTTGGTTTTATTTAATTTCTCTCAGTGACATTTCATTATTTTCAGTGCATACACATTGCATATCTTTTGTTAAATTTATTCCTAAGAGTTAAATCTTCTGAGGCCAAGTATTCTGTTTTATTTACCCTACAAAGCAGGTTTCATATTCACAGGAAATGTGCTAAGCCTGAAAGATACCAGCAAATTAGAAAAAAAGTGTAATTTTATACTTCAGTTGTTGATACCTCTGTATGAAGATACCGGATAAGTTTTTTCTAACATCTAGAAGAGAAAACGTTCAGCCATATAATTAAAATAAATTTGATGATTTAATAAAATAATGTAGTGTATTTCAATTCTTGCTTTTCATTTTATCATTGTTATACTGTTTCACTCAATCTGTTATTAGGATAAGAATTCCTAAAAGGCAACAAAAGCAAAAATAAACAAGTGAGATTACATTAAACTAAAAAGCTTCTGCATAGCCAAAAAAACATCAATAAAATGAGAAGTCAACCTTGGAATGGGTGAAAAGATGTGCAAATTATATATCTGATAAGGTGTTAATATCCAAAATATATAAAGAATTCATACAACTCAATGACAAATATATATCACCACAATCTGACTTTAAAAATGTGCAAAGGGCCTGGCTGGTGTGGCTCAGTGATTGAGCGTCGACCCATGCATCAAGAGGTCCTGGTCAGGGCATATGCCCAGGTTGTGAGCTAAATCCCCAATGGGGGGCATGCAGGAGGCAGCCAGGTGATGTTCTCTTTCATTGATGTTTCTATCTCTCTCTCTCTAAAATCAATATAGAAAAAAAACCTGTTTTTAATTTGCAAAGGATCGGTATAGACATTTTACCAAAGAAGATATACACATGGCCTATAGGTACATGAAAAGGTGCTCAATATCACTAATCATCAGAGCAATGCAAATCAAAGCCACAATGAGATTATCAACTCAAACCAGTTAGAATGGCTATTACCAAAAAGGAAAGAAACGACAAGTGTTGGCAAAGATGTGGAGAAAAGGAAACCCTAGTGCACTGTTGGTGAAAAAGTAAATTGGTGCAGTTACTATGAAAAACAGTATGGAGGTTCTCCAAAAATTTAAAAATAGAACTACCATATGATCCAGCAATTCCACTTCTGAGTATCTGTTCAAAGGAGACAAAAAAACACTAACTCAAAAAGCCCTCATATTCATTGCAGCATGATCTACAATAGCCAAGATATGCAAACAAACTAAGTGTCCACTGATGCATAAATGAATAAAGAAAATGTCACACACACACACACACACACACACACACAAAATGGAACTTTACTGAGCCATAAAAAAAAGGAAATCCTGCCTTTTGCGACAACATGGATGGACCTTGAGAGCATTATGCTAAGTGAAATAAGTCAGACAGAGAAAGACAAATACCATTGATCTCACTTATATGTGAAAGTAAAACTAAAACATAAGCATATTTTAAGATACAGAGAACAGACTGGTGGTTATGGAGTGGGGACAGGAGTGGTGTGGGGGAAAGGTTGTGAAATGAATGAAAGTAGTCAAAAGGTACAAATTACCAGTTATAAAATAAATAAGTCCTAGAGACATAATATATAATATAGTGACTATAATTAAATAATATTGTAGTATATATTTGAATGTTCTAAGAGAATAAATCTTAAAAGTTCTCATCACGAGAAAAAATTTGTAGCTGTGTGGTGGTATTAACTAGACTTACTGTGATGATCATTTCACAATATATACATATAAAGAATCACTATGTTGTGCATCTGAAACTAATACAATGTTATGTTTGTATGAGAATTAAATCTCAATTTAAGAAGAATCAGAATTCTTAGGCTGATTGCTTTTTAAACCACACCATAATTAATTAATTAATTAATTCAGAGTACTGAAAAGAAGTATTTTACATGTCTTCGTGCTATTTTAAAAAGCATTTTATGTCATTTTCAAAAAAATAAAGTTTTGAATATTGACCTTGTATGCTATAACCTTTCTATATTCACTTACTAGATCTAGCACTTGTGTAGATCTCCTAGGATTTTCTATATCTACAATTGTAGAGTTTTACTTCTTCCTTTCAAATCTGTACGATTTTTATTTATTTTTCTTGATTTCTAATATTTCTTTTTCTAGAAATTCAATATAATATTAAATAGAAGTGGTGAGTGCATACATCCCTGTCTACTTCAATATCTCGGGAAAAAAATCATTCAGCGTTACTCCATGAAGTCTGATGTTAGCTGTGGGTTTTTCACAGATGCCCTTTATCAGATTTAAGACATTGCCTACTTGTCCTAGTCTGCCAAGTTTCCATTATGAATGGATGCTGAGTTCTGCCAAAAACATTTTTTGCATCAAGATGATTATGTATTTTTCTCCTTTGTTCTTTTTTTTCTTTCTTTATTTTTAGAGCGAGAGAAAGGGAGAGGGAGAGATAGAAACATTGATGAGAACATCATTTGGTATCCTCCTGCATGCCCCCCACTGGGGATCAGGCCCACAACCTGGGGTGCCCTGACCAGGAGTCAAAATGGTGACCTCTTGGTGCATGGATCGATGCTCAACCATTGAACCACACTGGCCGGGCTCCTTTGCTCTTTAAATGTGTTGAATTACATTGTTTGGTTTCCAGATGTTAAAGCAATCTTGCGATCCTGGGATCACCTCCACTTGGTCTTACTATATTTTCTATCTATTGCAGGATTGGATTTTCTAATATTTTATTAAAGAAGTTTTGCATCTCTGAGAGAAACTGGCCTATAATTTTCTTTTGTTGCAATGTCCCTGACATATTTTGGTGTCAGGGTAATGACGACCTCATAAAACAAGTTGTGAGAATAGCTCTCTTAAAAGAACTTGCACTAAAGAAAATTTTTTAGAAGCAAGCAATTATTGCCTGAATTTATATGATTGTTACTCTGATAGCTTCAAATGATTAGAACTACAGTGTTGAACAAAGTCAAGACATTTCAAAACAATGAGTATCTTGAACCTCTTATTAGCGAACCAATTTCTCTCCTGGGGACTAGTTCTCTATGATGGTTCTCTGAAGTCAATTACTTCACTTGCCTAGAGTTAAATCATATGCAAAGGTCAAGCTGTACAAAACTACTTTTGACACCAATCTCAGATTTTTAGAAATAGATAATCCATGTTAAGAATAATTAATTCTTTAAACATCTCTGAACAGCTCTTTCCCCATCCCCTGCACTCAAATTATAATCTAGTTGGAAAAATATTTTTAAAAATATAAGACATTTTTATAAATTAAATAATAGTTCAATACAATAGAAAAGACATTGTAAGGTAGTAGGAGACAATAGAGTCTTTTAGGAGTTAAGATATAGGGGAAATTATTTCAGGCTAATGTAGTCAGAAAAAGCTTTATAAATTATAAAGGCAGTAAAAGTTGAGCTGTATAGTATCTTTAAAAAAGTAAGTGGAAAGGAAAAAAAAAATTACTACATTAAGACTTGTCAAAAGTGTGAAGGCTAGAGGCACAGTATAAATTCAGAGGAAAGGAAACAAACAAGTTTAGCTATAACATGGTTAAGAGCACAGATCCAAGGTCAGACTGCCTGGCCTCTGATCTTGGTTCTGCCACTTAATGGTTTTGTGACTTTGTACAAGTTATATAACCTTTTAATGCTCAATTTCCTTTAAAAATGGAGACAAAACCATAGAAGAACTGTGTGAGTCAAATGAGTTCATATATATAAGGCTTTTACAGTAATGCCTGGAAAAATAACTTAAAAGGAGAGTTCACATAAACTCATGAAATAATGTCTCCCAAGGCCAGTCAAATAACACAGAAGAGTGAAGCGGATTGATCTGTTTAGAAATATATTGTTTGTCATTAAACACATAGGGATAGTCTTCATTTAAAAAAAAAAAAGTATTCTTTTCCATTTTTTTAAAACACACATTCCCACTCATTAGCTTTCCTTTTCCTACTTTTAATACCAACATGAGTTCAAGAAATACTTCATTTTCATTTAACTCTATTATAAGATAAAAATAGTACAAGCACGGTGATAAGTGACAAGTGATAGTCAGCCTTAGTTCAGGGAGTCACAGAGTGGTAGGAACTGCAGGGAACTTGAAAATGTAGGCCTTATCAAAAGCCAGCCATTGATAGTCTTGCCTACTGCTCCATATGATACTGTAGCCCAATGTTGTCAGATCTTCCCAATTTTCAAAAGCAGCAGGAAATTCAGATTTTTATGTAAAAGCTCCTGATTCTTATATGGAGGCAATTTGTTAAAATGCTCCTGAGTGGACCATCACTGCCCCTGCCAAACAGTCTGGCTGTTGTATTTGACTGATGTGCTCCCAGTTTGTCTCCTTTGACTTCAGGCACAGTGGCTAGAATACTAACCTAGAGCTACATCAAATTAAAAGTGTTTGGAATTCATATTATAGGGTCACATTAATCAACCTGCTTCAATTCATATCCATTAACAGTGATTTCCAGTTTTTTTGATAGCACAGAGATAAAAATATTTTTATCAAGGTTTATTCCCTATAGTTTATACATACATGGTGGGGCAAAAATAGGTTTACATTTGTTCATATGGAAAATAATACAATAATTAATAAATAATAATACAAGAATAAACTCTGTTTCATGTACTCACAACCATAAACCTACTTTACCCTACCCTTTATTTTTAAGTATATTAAATGTCCTTTTTCAGTCTATTCTCTGTTCCACACAGAGATTCTGGTGAACACCTCAACAGCTCGTATATCATTTGTGTGGTCAGCCTCTTTCTGTTCCTGTCTGTCTGTGCCCCCTCCCTCCCTATACTCCCCTCCTTCCCATTCCCTTCCTAACTCTCTTTCTCTCACACACATACACACGCACACACTCACATTACAGGCAATGAGTATCAATGGAAGCCTTTAAAAATAATATTGAGGATTCGCCCCCACTGAAGTTATTGTAGGGAATTTTGATTCCTAAAAACAAATATTACCTGTAATTCAATCTTCCAGAGACACTGCTCTTAACATTTAACAGCACAACATGCTTTGGATAAGAGAATAATGTGATCAAAATGATGTTTAAGAGAACTAATTTGTACCATTACCCAGAATAAACTAAAATACTTTCAAAACACAGGCCTAAAAAAGTAATTTGTTATTTTGTATTTGCTATAATGCCATTACTCTTCAATTTAAATGTTACCAATAGTAAAAATGCTTGACCCTAAAAGGAGAAAATATAAATATTCTCCTTTAAATGGCCATGAGGGAAAAAAGTCAGGCAGATTTATGCCTCAGTGCACAAAATCAGGCCATCTGTTTTTATGGCTCACATTTAGGACAGGTTACAAATTCATTTACATGTTCATTTCCCAGAATTCTTATAAATACATCAGCTAAAATCTCCAAGCAGAACAGTATTAATACACACAGAACTCAGCAGTATTTAAAGTGCATATATGTGAATTTTAGCAGTGTGATGCTTCCTTCTCAAAAGGCTAAAGATGTATTCCTGCCAAAAGTATATAACCCATTTCTTTCAGATTAGATTCAATCAAACAAACTCAAATTGAGGGGCATTCTAAAAAAAAACTGGCCTCCTTAAAAGTGTCAGTGTCATGAGAGACAAAGAAAAGTTGAGGAATTGTTTCAAAATAAAGAAAACTAAAGAGAACTGACAACTAAGGGCAATGTAGAATCATAGACAGAATCCCAGATCATAGGGAAAACTAACCATGAACTACTGACATAGATTCTCTGCTTGACCAAACTTTAGTTAGACTTCTCTCGGCCAGACTAGGCTCTTTATCTGGGCATGTCCTCCAAAAGCCCAATTTTAACAAGAATATTCTTAAGTCTGTTTAGCCAGAATCCCTCACCCTGAATATCTGATCATCCTTTATAGCTGACCACATTCCTCATTTCCCACTATACCCCATTATCTGATCACCGTGGCCTGAGGTTTCCTCGTAGTAATTTGCCATCCACCAAGTCCCATCCACAACCCTGGGCTTCCTGGCTATAAATTCCCCTTTTCCTTTTTGTAATTAAAATTGAGCCCAGTTCTATTTTGTGGTCTCTTTTCCCCTATTGCAATAGTTCCTAAGACAAATGTGGTTTTGCTGCTTTAACTACTGATAGGCTCTGGTTTGTCTGTGATAGTACTATAAAGTACAATTAGCAAAAGTTAAAAACTGATTGTATAAGAGTATGATAAGACTATTTTATCAATATTGAATTTCCTGAATTTGAGAACTGTACTACAGTTTTATAGACAAGGGGTTGGCAAACTTCCTATAACAGGGCTAGATAGTAAATATTTTAAGCATAGAGGGCCACATACAGTCTCTGTCACAAATTCTTTGTTTTTGTTTTTATTCTTTACAACCCTTTAAAAATATAAAAGCCATTTTTAGCTAAAAAGCTGTATAAAAACAGACTAAGTGCTGACTTTGGCCCACAAGCCATAGTCTGCCAACCTCTCATACAGAACACGTCCTGCTCTTAGGAAATACGCAATGAAGTAAGTTACCTTCCTAAGATTCAGCAAAAATAATAATGATAACATGTGCGAGACAAATAAAACACATGGCAAAATGTTCACAACTGACAAATATAGGTGAAAGATAAGAGAGTTCACAGTACTAAGCTTGCAATTTTTCTTTAAATTTGAATTTTTTTCAAAAGAAAAGGTTAATATTTTTTAAAAGCCCTATAAGTGCCTAGGGGTTTAAAGCCAGAGAACCCAATGTGCAAGCCTGGGGCATGGTTCTGGTGGCTCACACAAGAAAGAATGAGAACTCTCACAAAGCAAAGGATATCTGTCCTTAAGGTCATTTCAATACATACCCATGGGTCCAAAGGTATCTAGATTCTCCTGTCATCACTAGCAAACTCCGACGCAGCAACATGACTGACACTGTGACACCATCTGGGTGCTTAAAATCCATGACAATCTTGAAGTAAAGACAAAAGCATAAAGATTAATCCAAAGTGTCATATGCTCCGAGGATAAGAATGATTTATTGATTCAGGCTATCTTTCTGGGCTAACAAATTAAAATGTGACAATGCTTATAGGATAGCATGGCACACTGGTTCTCAAACTTTGGTGCACATAAAAATCAACCGCATGACTAAAAAACATACTTCATCCACAGAGAAACTCAGCAGGTCTAGGTGAGAGGCTCAGGAGCCTACACTTCTAGCAAGCACCCTAGGAAATTATGATGCAAGTAGTCTGAGGATCATACACTATATACACACTATATAAAACACTAGGGTAGTAGTCAAATGTAAGGACTGTGGAGTAGAAACATTCATATCCTGGTGCTTCCATTTACTAGCCATATGACCTAGGGGACAAGCAAGCCACATAATCCCTCTGTGCCTCAGAGATATAGAATAGGGTTCAAATGGACAGACTTCAGAGGAGGGGGCGGAGGGGAGGAGGGAAAAGATAAACCAAAGAACTTATGCATATAAGCATAACCAATGGACATATACAACAATGTTGCGAGGCGGGGAGAGGGGGAGAGAGAAGAGTGTCAATGGGGGAAAAAGGAGAAACATCTTTAACAAAAATAAGTTAATTCAATAAAAATAGTTTTTCATAAATTAAATATATAATGACAAATCACAGTATCTAGCACAGAGTAAATAGAAAAAATAGTGGCTATTATTATTAATAAAATTGTAATAATTAATTAATACTCCAACGAGAAATAATTATTAGATGCAGATTTTCATATAATCCATTTTGCCTTTAAAGTCATGCAACATTTTGGATATTAGAGGCTAATTTACAATAGATAATCAAAGAATACGTGAACATTTTCAGTTACTCTTCCCAAGTTTTGCTCAAATATTATGAATAGCAACTTATAAAGATACAATACCCAAGAAAATGTTTTTGTTTTCAGGAACCCAAACACCAAAAGAATTCAATCTAAACATAGCAGCAGCTAACTAATGTGAATTTGAAAGGCATGCCAACAGGGCTTAAAAATGTTTTGAAGTGAATCAATCCATTTGAAAAATAAATGTGACAACCAAGTATCAGTGGATGAAGAGAATGTAGCACAGTACTTTGTTTAAATGTAAATATAGCACAGTATGTGGCACAAAGCAATCATTCAATAATACACATCAAATCAGATAATGCACAAGACTAGTTTTGGAACCTATAAAGAATTATACAGCTCTAAGTTGGTTTATCCTTTTCTCATCTGACCTTCCAATCTAAGTATTGAAAATAAACTAAGATGATATAATTTAAATTTCCAACAATTATCTGTTTCAAATGATCACATAATTTCAAAGTCTTATTCTAAAAGCATTACGTTTATAAACATTGTAGATGAATTCTGAAGTTTTGGGGTAAGTATAATGGTGATTGTGACTTCCCTGAAATGTATAAATAAAATAAGATAAACTAATAGAAAATTTATAGGTAGACATTTGATACAGCATATATGTTAAGATGGTAAGGGTAGAATTCAGGTGGTAGGTATATAGGTATTTACTATACAATTCTTTCAAACTTTCTGTATAATAATTTGCATAACAAAGTGTTAGAAATAAAAACCCACTGTGGCTTATTTTTTTTAAACTTACCTTTATTGTTGAATGTATTACAGATATAGCTCCCTTTTTCCCCCATTGACCCCCTCCCTCCCCAATTCTGCCCCTCTCCTGCCTTCCCCACACTATTGTTTGTGTCTATTAATCATGCATATAGGCATAGAAGTTCTTTGGTTTATCTATTCCCACCCTCCCCCCTTCCCTTTGAGGTTCATCAATCTAACAACCAATTTGTACTTCTCAATTCCTTTATCTCTTTCAACCATCCCCCAGGCCCCTCCCATTTGGCAAGCAACAAAAAGTTCTCTGTACTTATGAGTCTGTTTCTGTCCTGCTTGGTCATTTTGTTTGTAGATTTAATTATTGATATGTATTTAGTGCCATTTTATTGTTCATGTTTTTTTTGTTCTCCTTTAAGACCCTTCAACATTTCATATAATACTGGTTTGGTGGCGATGAACTCATTTAGCTTTTTCTTGTCTGGAAAACTCTGTATATGTCCATCAATTCTAAATGGTAGCTTTGCAGGATAAAGTAATCTTGGTTGTAGGTCATTACTTTTCATCACTTTGAATCTCTCTTGCCACTCCTTTCTGGCCTGCAAAATTTCTTTTGAGAAATCGACTGACAGTTTATGGGAGCTCCATTGAAGGTAAGAAACTGCTTTTCTCTTGCTGCTTTTAAGATTCTCTCTTTGTCTTTAACCTTTGACATTTTGATGATGATTTGTCTTGGTGTGGACCTCTTCGGGTTCATCTTGTTTGGGATGCTCTGTGCTACCTGGACTTGTATGTCTGTTTCCTTCACCAAATTAGGGAAGTTTTCTGTTATTTTTTCAAATAGGTTTTCAATTTCTTGCTCTCTCTCTTCTCCTCTGGCACCCCCATGATGCAAATGTTGGTATGCTATACTGTCCTCATTTTAAAAATTTTTTTTTTTCTTTTTGCTGTTCTGAATGGGTGTTTCTTCCTTCCTTATATCCCAAATCAATGTTTTGCTTCTTGGCTTCACCTACGCTACTACTGATTCCCTGTAAATTATTCTTTATTTTAGTTAGTGCATCCTTTATTTCTGACTGGTCCTTTTTGATGTTGTTGATGTTCTCACTAAGTTCCTTGGAGTTCTCCTTAGGTTCTTTGAAGGTCTCACCAAGTTCCTTGAGCATCCTTATAACTAAAAGGTCTGAGCTGGAGGGAGAACACATCCACAACGCAAGGCCAGTGTAGAGCCAAATGGCTTTATTGCATACACCTGGGTGCAGGCAGGCTGACTCCTTAAAAGAGTCCAGCCTCAAAATCTCTTTGTTCTCTGGTTTTTATAGGCCCAAACTAAACTAAAAAAAAAAAAAACAACACCTAAAACTAAAAAACTAAAAAAAACCCACATTCTCTTGGCACCACGTAATTGGTGTCAGGGCTGATACAAGTTGTCTCAGAGGTAAGGAGTCTGCTCCAATAGAGGTCTGGGCCATCATTAATCTCCCTCTTTTTTATGGTCCCTTCAAGTTTTCCAAGGCCATCATTAACCCCTTATCTTTACGGTTCCTCTGGGTGTCAGTTCCAGGTTTTTCAGAAAACTGCTCTGGTGTTTATGTGCAGGAATAACTGGTCAGAAAGGAGTTTAATTTTGTTAAAACATTATTAACCCTTTCAATAACAAGTGTTTTGAACTCTGCATCTGACTGATGTTTATCTCCATTTTATTTAATTCTTTTTCTGGAATTTTTTTCTGTTCTTTCACTTGGGACATGTTCCTTTATCTCCTTATTTTGGCTGCTTCCCTGTGTGTGTTTCTTTGTATGATGTAGAGTTGCTATGTCTCCTAGGCTTCACAGGGTGGCCTATTATTGTAGGTGTCCTGTAGGGTCCAGTGGCACAGCCTCCCTGATCACCCCATCTGGGCCCTCCAGGTGCAACCCTAGTGTGGACTGTCCACTCTTCTGTTGTAATTGAGTCTTGATTGCTATTGGCATGTCAATGGGAGGGATTTACTCAGGCTGATCAGTGCAAGGACTGGATGTGCCAACTGACCACTGGCCTCTGCCTACCTTGGAGGATCAACTGTGTAGGGGCCCACCACACAGAGTTAGACTTACTTTAGCAGGGCTCTGGTGCCCAGTGAATCCACTCATTGAGTGTGGTACTTGTAGAGGTGGTTGGCTGGTGGTGCTTCGATGTGTTCTGAAGCTGTCCACTGGGTATGCTGGCTCTGGGACAAGGTCAGCCTCTGCCTATGTTCTACCCAGGGCCACCTGGCATAAGCTACAAACTGATCTGCAGACAGCTGCTTCTTGTGCTGGGCTTGGAGGTGCCCAGGAAAAGCCAAGTTGTGAACCAAGGCTGGCTGCTTCTAGTGCCAGGCTTAGGGCCACTTTATGAGAGGTATGGGACTCGCTGAGACCAGATGCTGCTTGTTTGGGAGATTTTAGGAAAATCTGAAACAGGATGCAAGACAGGCTGATCCTATGGTAAAGCCATTTGGAAACAGCTTAGGTGGCCCCGAAGATTGGATGGCGTAGGGCCTCAGGGAATCACCAAGGTGGGGCAAACAGTGTGAGGCATGTTGCTGGAGTCCCAGATATGGCAGCTGTTTGCTGCCCCAGGGAAGGGCTCACCAAAGGAACAAGGGCCTCCCACAGAAAGTCTGTCCAGGCATTGTGCTTATTTTTAAATCACTATTATAAAGGTCTCAATTTTCTGAATAGACACTAAGGTCTACACTTAGGAAAGAATAATAAACATATTAATTATTTTATTAGAAACAATATTTGTGGCTTACAGGAATGAAAACTGTTGATGGGAGAATATCCTTAAAAATTAGACTCCAGGACTTCCGGTCAAGATGGCGGCGTAGGTAAACGCGGTATTGCGTCCTCCCACAATCACATCAAAGTTACAACTAAACTACAGAAAAACCATCATTCAAAACCGCCTGAAATCAAGCTGAATGGAAGTCGTACAACTATGGAATTAAAAAAAAAAAAGCAGCTACATCCAGACTGGTAGGACGGGCGGCGACGTGAGGGGTGGCGGCGGTGCGGCGGTGGCGCACGGCAGCGAGACAGGCTGGTCCCACACCCGAGCGAGGTGGATAAAAATCAGGAGGCTCCCGTGGCTGGGAAGGTCCTTCCTGAGGACTGAGGGGTCCCTGTCCCACACCAGGTGCCCCGTTCAGGGTTCCAGTGCCAGGAAGAGAAGTCCCCATAACTTCTGGCTGGAAAAACCAGCGGAAACTGAGGCTCAGGGAAGCTGACCTGGCTGGAGCCCCAGGCAGCTCCCTAAAGGGCCGGCGCACGGACTTACCAGACTCTCTCCCTCTAAGCTTGGAGGGGAGGCAGCTGGAGGGGCGCCAGAGACATACAGGGAAGAACTGAG